ACAGGTCACTCAGACAGTGCTGGGACCAGGGTGAGACCAGTGAGGTGCTGAAGGAGTAAAATGAAAGGCAGGTCTCGTCTTGGGTTCCTACCAGTGCCAAGTCCTGCTCCCCCTGCCATCTGTCTGCCTTGCCATTTAAGTCAGCCTGAGGTACTCAAGGGCCCACTTGCTCCACCCCACCCCAAACAAAGGGCAGAGACTGAAAACTGACAAAGAGATTTCAAACACACTTTGGTAGTTTTGTGGATGATGCAGCTGTTAAGAGAGTCTAAGGAATACCTGGAGCTATAAAAGATGTTCAAAGCTAATATCTCCACGTGCACTGAGTAGTGATGAATTTCAGGGGAAATTGTTCATTTCTTATTTCCACTCATCTCGCAAACTTTTGCTGTGGCTCGACTTTGATGTGTAATGCAGTGTGGATGGAGAGGAACCAGACACAGCCCTTGTCCTCAGAAAGCCTGGTACTGCTCCCTCGTAACTTGGCATGGGGCCCGCACATGATAACAACTGAATAAAATTAATGATAATAAGTTAACATTTATGGAGCACTCTCTATGCGCCAAGCCCTGCAAGAGGCATTTTCTACACATCATCTCATCCGATCCACATCACAACTCTATGAGGCAGGTATTCTTATTATCCCCATTTTATAGAAAAGAAAACTAAGGCAAGTAACTTGCCCAAGGTCACTCAGAACACAGCAGAGCTGGGATGGATACTCAATACAGCATTTGTTAGGTGAAGGAATGAAAATACAAGAAGTCATGCAGGGAGGCTAGGTAAATATAAGAGTGATATGATTTGTTAAGCGTGGCTCAAGGCCGGTGCAAAGAGCCCTGGAAGCTCCAGAAGCCAGTGTCAGGCCCCCCGAGGGGGTCAGGGAATTCTCCATGCTTTTGGGCACACTTGGGCTGCAGACTTCCAGGAAGGGGGTGATGGTGACAGCAGCTGTATCAGATAGCAGTGCAAGGAGGCTCCAGTTTCTCTCTCTCTCTGAGCCTGACCACGTGCTCCATCTACAAAAATATCCCAGGCCAGCAGCCCCTTTCACTCTGAGAAAGTGGGTTCCAAGACAGGATAGACTTGAGCAGGTATGAGAGGAGGGGCAGTTCTTCCTGGGCTAGCCAGGCAAGGATCTGCCCTGAGCCCTCTTCCTCCCTCAAGCCTTTGAGGGGAGGGTTGCCGATGGACACCCTGACACCCAAGCCTCCCAGCTCGCGCCTTGGTTGCCTGGCAACCACGCCGGATGTCACTCACACCAAGCTCAGGTTTCAGGAGCCCAGGCCCAGGTGAGGGTGTCAGTATATAATAATAGAACAGCCCAGCCCCCACAGGGGTTGCTTAAGATAGGCAGATCTCAGTGCTGGGCAGGGCCTGAGTGGTCCTGTGGTCATTTTGCAGATGGGAAAACAGACCTGGGAGGGAAAAGGAATCACTTGAAGTGACCCAGGGAGTTATCAAGGAAGGCAGGGCTGTCTCTGACGAGGAGGTTGAAATAGAAATAGCAGTTCAGAAAGTGACAACAATGACAAGTATAGCTGCCACCTTCAGGGCCTGGGCCTATGTACCTTCTGCCACTGTTGCCCATCTCACCCTCAAACAAGACAGGTGTAGGTGTTGTTTTCATGCCCACTATATAGATGGGGAAACTAAGGCTCAGAGAGATTGAGCAACCTACTTAAAATCACCTAGCTGGTGAATGGCAGAGGTCAGATCTGAACCCAGGCCAGTGTGAAGCTCCAAAGTCTGTGAGCTTCACCCTGAGCTACACTGTCCCCAAGGACTAATGAGTTAAGTACAGGACTGAGGGACCTGCCTCCCAGGTTGACTTTGATCTCCTCAGTAACACTGGGGCAGGGGGTGAGGAGTATGCTGGGCTCAGAGGGTTAAATGGTGGTCCCAGGATGAGCTAAGCAGTAGGTGGGGATGAAGGATTTCCTATGTCTCTCTGGCTTCAACGTCTGGGTGTGACCCACTGTGCCAAGTTCACTGGCAGAGTCCTGGGGTTGTGCCCCTCTGCCAGGCCTCGGGGCAGCTCTGCCTCAGCTTCCTCCAGCCTGGTGAGACTTCCAAGGGGACAGGACCCCACTTCCCAGCCCCCAAGAGAGTCAGCAAGCCCCAGCACAGAGCAGTGACCTTTGATTCCAGGCCACTGGACCTATCCCTCAGTCCCCCCACCCCCATGTCTCGTAACCCGAGACAGGGACATGCAGGTTGCCATGGCGACAGCACATCGGATACTGACCTGGGACCCACTGGCAGCAAGGGGGACGACAGGCCTTGCCTCAGAGCGATGGCTGGAGGGGTGGAGAACGGGGGGCCTGGGGGGCCCTGCGGCAGCCCTGGTTGTTCTCTGGGCCAGGCCAGGCACAAGCTGCTATTTATAATTCTGCTGAATGGGCCCAATAACCCGATCCGCAGTCCGACCTGCCCAGTCCAACTTGCCCGGGAAGCCCAGCAGCCACACACAATCTGCTCAGGAGCCTCCTCCCTGCCCCCGGCACAGTGTCTCCGGCACCCAGCTGTGAGGGTGGAGGTGAAGGCCAGGGTGCAGGAGCCCCTCTCCCCACCATTAGCCTCAGCACACACCCCTCTGGTCCAATCCCACCCTCTTCCCTGTGTTCCAGGCCACAGGAGGCTACAGCTTGGACTTTGGTTTTAAAAGGGGTTCAGGAAACCTGTGTGTGTGTGTGTGTGTGCGCGCGTGTGCGTGTGCGTGTGGTGTGTATGTGTGTGTGTGTTCTAGGAAGCCTCTTACTGGAGGGAGTTGAGCAGAGGGAAGGTAGGGGAGGAGGAGAAAGAGAAAGGAGAGAAAGACACAGTAAGGCAGAGAAGAACTTGAGAGGCTAGGAGTGGGAGGGGAGGGAGGGAGGAAAGGAGGCAGAAGAGGGAGAGGGGAGAGAAACAGAGGCTAACTTCGAAACAGAAATTGATATTACCATGAAAAATGATAGACAAGGAAGGTGATGAATATGTTAATTAGTGTGATTTGATCATGCCATATTGTGTGTGTGTGTATATCAAAGTATCATGTTGTCCCCCATAAATGTAAACAATTATGATTCATTAATTTAAAAAAAGTAATACTAATTTTCTGTTAAAAAAAGAGATACATCAAGATCTAAGAAGGGAGGGAGAGGGAGGGACGCAGAGACAGAGGAAGACACAGTGGAACTGAAGCCAAGACACAGAGACCGAAGCAGGGAGATGGGAGCCAGGAGGCCCGGAGGCAGGAGTGAGGGCAGTGGCCGAGCTCTGAGCCTGCCCTCTTGCCACCTGCTGGTCTTTGGTCAAGGCACTGGTTCAGAAGCCCAAATGCAAAGATGAGTCGGGTCTCAGGAGAGTCCAGTGACCCATGTGCCAGGGGAGAGAGGGCCTGGGTCTGTGGTGCCTGCACTGTCTGCCCAGACCTCTTGCGGCGGGGGACGCTGTAGGGCAGGGCAAGGACTGTTCCAAGGTTGCAGGATCCTGGCCTGAAATGGCATAGCTCCCGAGGCTTGCGGGGCTGTCCGCCCTCAGATTCGGGTTATTTTGGGAGCTGAGCAGCCAAAACACACCCCTCTTCTCTTGTTCGAGGGCCAGTGGCTGCTGACTCAAAATATTCTCTCAAGGAAACTGTCTCCCCGAAATCCAATGTCACTTCTAGGAGGCCTCCCCTGATTCTCCCAGAATTAATTGTCTGCCTGGTTTCTACCTTCTGTGCAGTGGATCCTGGGGAACTACAGACAGGTAAACATCTCCCACCAGACTGAGCAGGGGTTGATTCAGGTTCCCCGGGTTTCCCCAGCACCAAGTGCAACATCAGACACACACAAGTTGCTTAAGTGACAATCCTACAGTAGCAGTGTCGGCTAACATTTATTACACAAGAACCTGATGTGTGCTGCCTCATTTATTGTCTCAGTAGCCCCAGTTGTAGGATCTTCAGCAGGTCCCATTTTACAAAGGAGGAAACTGAGGACCCATATTGGCAAGTTGTTGAACCAAGATCTAACCTAAGCGTGTCTGATTTCAGAGCCCATTTACATGACCACCAGGCATACAGCCTCCCCTGTGCTAATGATCATCTCCATGTCTGTGTCTCTGCTCAGGAACCTTCTATGGCTCCCCAGTGCCCCTAAGATTAAGTCCAAACATCTGGCCTAACGCTGGTTCCTTTCCTCTATTTGCCTTGTCCTTTCAAGTCTCACTCTCTCTTGCCCTATCTCCTACTTCTAGGTCCCCTTCTCTTATTCTCTGATTTGTTCACTCCACAGTCATTTAATGAGTACCTACTGTGTGTCGAGCATACTGTACTTGCCTCCACACTTGATTCTGTTAGGGAAGACAGACTATGAAAAGTGCTATGAAGAGCAGTGGTGGGCCAGGCGTAGTGGCTCACGCCAGTAATCCCAGCACTTTGGGAGGTGGAGGCAGGTGGATCACTCGAGGCCAGGAGTTTGAGACCAGCCTGGCCAACAGGGTGAAACCCTGTCTTTATTTAAAATGCAAAAATTAGCTGTGTGCAGCGGTGTACACCTGTAATCCCAGCTACTCAGGAGGCCGAGGCACGAGAATCACTTGAACCCAGGAGGCAAGTTTGCAGTGAGCCAAGATCGCACCACTGCACTCCAGCCTGGGTGACAGAATGAGGCTCTGTCACACAAAAAAAGTGCTATGAAGAGAATAAGGCATTGTGACTGAGACTGTCCAGGCATTTATTGTGCTAGGGGTTGTGCAAAGAGCTGGGGCAGTATGTTCCAGGCAGAGGGCACGGCATAGGCAAAGACCCTGGAGGTGGGAAGGGGCAAGACATGCTTTCAGTAACCCAAAGAAGGCCAGCATGGCTGGGGTTTGTGATGAGAGAGAATGAGGTAAAGCGAGTTCAGAGAAGCACAAGGGACAGATCATGCCAGGCTTCGAAGACCCCGGGAACTTGGATTTTATTCCAGGTGGTGAGGGATGCCTCTGAAGAATTTTAGGTGATAGATTAACATACCTTTTCCTTTTTCACAGATCTGTCATGCATTGGAGAATGGACTGGCAGAGTGAGATTGAGAGCAGGGAGGAAGTGAGGCGGCTACTGTGTCATCCAGGTAGGTAGGGACAGGTCCCGCCTACAGGGGCAGCAGTGGTGTTGGAGAGGTGTGGGTGGGTAGGAGTTAGGAAGTGGAACCAGTAGGCTGATAACCTGAGCTGCGACTTTAGGAAGAGGGCGAGTGGATGGTGGCGCCATTTACTGCGGTGGGTCGGGGAAGGGAGCAGGCTTTTGGGGGTGGGTGGAGAAGGTTGGGTGGGCATGATGAAGAATCCTGTTTTGGACTTGTTAACTTTGAGATGCTTGTGAGACGTCCAAGTAGAGATGCCAAGTGGGCAGTTGGATGCATGAGTTGGGAGCTCAGAAGAGAGGCCCTGACTACAGATATAAATATGGAAATCAGCAGCTTAAAGATGGTATTTAAAGCCATGGGACGGGATGAGATCATCGAGGGACAGAGCTCAGCCAGAGAAGGGAAGAGGCTCAGAGCCCAGCCCCAGCCATTAGAGGTCAGGTAGAGGAGGAGACTGGAGCCATGTGGCCATCCTGGCAGACCTGACTAGATGCCTTCCTTGGCTCCCACTGCCCTCAGAACAAGGTTCAAAATCCTTAGCCTGACACACACGCCCTGCCTGCTTCTTCAGGCTCACATCTTTCCATCCGTTCTTTGTAACATTCCCTCCTGCGGTAATAAGCTCCTTGCAAGGTTCCACAGTTCCAGGCTTTTGCCCAGGCAGTCCCCCTGCCAGAAATGCCCTCCCATGGGCAAAGGCAAATGCTCTTCTAAAGTGCTGGCCAGTGAAGCTTTCTCTAACATCCTGGGCAGACTCGGTAACACCTGTCTCTGTGTTTCCATGGCCTTCTGGACACACTATGCTATCACTGTCTTTCTGGGAGTCCCTTGTGGGGAGTGGGCTGACCTGTCTCTGTGTCCCCGGCCCAGCATGTCCATAGCTCATGGTGAGCCCTCATGCATTCAGTGTCCCCATGTCACCACCCCATGTCTGAAACGTATCATCACAGCTTGGGTGGGCTGAGAATGTCCGAATTAACCACTTCCAGTTTGAGCCTGGGCTTCTGCACCGAACAGACTCAGAAGGACGGTTAAGGGAGGGAGGAGGTGAGCGGGCGTCAGCACGAGGGGTGGCCACACTGAACATTTGCTGAGCCTCCCACCTGCCACTGCAGCAGAAGGAGGAAAGAATGAAAAGACAAAAGCAGGAAAAAGAGCAATCAAGTTCATCTTTCTTCACTACTGCTCTGCGCTCATGACAAGAGACTTTATTGTGTAGGAAATCAAGTAGCACATGCGGGAGGTTGGGAACTTGGCCAGCAGGGGTCATGTCAGAGCTCTCCCACCCTCTGGGCTACTATTGCTCTGTCTTGTTTAATGTTACCACTTGCAGGCTCCTGCAGAAAACCTCTCTGGCTGGGGAACAGGTAAGGGGAGAGGGACAACTGGATGATTTATTGAGCACCTACTATGTGTTGGGCACCACACATTTGGTCATGGGCACGGATTGGGGTTAGGCAGACCTGTGCTCTGATTCCAGCTCTACTACTTGCCACATGGCTTTAGACAGGTCACTACCTTGCTCTGGGACTCAGTTTCTTCATCTTTGAGATGAGGGATCATTACACATGCCTGGCTAGGCTTTTATAAGCCTAACCCTGTTAGAGGAGTACTGCGGTTCCCATTTTATAGACAGGGAAATTGAGACTCAGAAAGAAAGACTCAAAGGGCATAGCCAGGGTGGACAGAGCTGATGTCTAAGTGCCTTTCTGCTGCCAAAGTCAAAGGCCCCTTCCCCACCTGCAACGCCTCATGCTGTCTCCTACTTGGCCCTGCAGTCAATTGATTCTGAGCCTTGAGTTGGATGCTGGGGACTTGAAGGGGATTCAGACAAAAGCTCTGTCCTCCAGGGGCTGCTGATTTGGTCAGGGGGTCAGGGTCTTCGACCACTACTTTATAATCCCCTCCTCCCACTCAGAGCAGCCAGGGGTAGGGAGATGGGGATTCCAGATTGCACAGGAGGAGAAGGTGAGTTTGAGAATTCCTGGCTCATAGGTCCATTTCCTCCTTTAGGGACCAGGCAGGAAGCATGAGTTACTCCGCTAAGCAAGTTTCTCCGTCTGCAAAATTCGCATAATCATATCACCCCCAAAAGATACCAGCCACTGAAGGTGGGAAGCATTTGCAGGGCCTTGGCATTATGACAGGTTGCCCCAGATCAGGCCATCTTTAGCTGAAGTCGTGGAGAGCTTCAGAGGGGGCCATGAACCTACCAACATTCTTTGTAAAAGGTTGTGTTTTTCTGGGGAGGAAGCCTTTAACTCTCACTAGTTTCTCAATGGAATCCCTGAAGCCCTCGCCCCACAAGGACTCAAAATCAAGGCCTAGTAGGACCAAGTCAACTCCCTGCTTTTCAATAAAAGCTGTGTAGAAATAGCACCAAGATGGCAGACCCAGAAAGCACAGGAACAATGGGTGCGTGGGGATGGTTAGAGAGAGCAAGAGTCAAGGTTGGGGCCCCATACTTGGAGACCGCCAGTAAGGTAAGGCACTAGAGAATCACCCCTCACTGTGAGTCTCTGCAGCTTTTCTGTGGCTTCATGGCACAGGATCCTGTAGTTACCAACTCCCCTCCATGCCAGCTTGGCGGGAGGGAGAAAGGATGTGGATGGTATTCTTTCCCAAGCAAACGCAAAGCTAATTATTCGAGACACCAAGTTCCTTTAACCGTAATTGATCAGCCTCTAGTTTAGAGAAAATTAAATTTCTTCTGCCTCCTCCACTAGCCCTGGGGAAGGGGGTGAAGGTGACAGAACTGGGCAGAGAGCTGCTTATGCAGATGAGCCCTAAGCCTGGCCAGAGAGGAAGCAGATGGAGGGTCCATGCCACACCCTGGGGGTGCTGGGTCTCAGCAGAGCCGGCACCTGGGGAAGCACTCAGGGGCTCATCTGCTTGGGCATCTGCAACTAGAGCATTCTAGAAGCCACTCAAAGTCACTTAGTCTAGTCTGGCAGGTCATAAGAAGGGTGACCTGAGATAGGCTCCAAATGCAGATTTTGGCTTGAAATTTTAGCTGAAATAAGGAGCCTAATGTGTGGTTTCCTCCAGGCCAGGCCTTACCATGCAGCAGACACCAGTGTCCTGCCTGGCCTCTCCCGCTAGTTGTCCCCACACCTCAGCCTCAACAGTCTCAAGACCAGTATTTCAGCTTTCCCTCTTATGATTGGTGTGTTTTTTTGTGTGTGTTTTCTCTGAAAAATAATTCCCTACTTCTAGGTGGGGAAGACGCTCTGCGTTCGCTTCTGGAAGTTTCGTAGCTGTATCTTTACATGTAGGTCTATGAGCATTCTCAATTTAATTTTTTCATCTACATTTCTCTTTTTTTGTGGTTAAGTCTACATAACATAGAATTTACCCTTCTAACCGTTTTTAAGTGGCATTAAGTACATCCTCACTGTTGCACAACCATCTCCACAATCCATCTCAGAATGTTTTCCTCTTCCCAAACTGAAGTTCTGTCCCCATCGAACACCAGCTCCACTTTTCCTTCCCCATCCACTGGCACATGCACCATTCCATTTTCTGTCTCTATGAGTTTGACTACTGTAGTGACCTCATGTAAGTGGAATCAGAACACTATTTTTCCCTTTATGGCTGGCTTATTTCACTTAGCATCATGTCTCAAGGTTCATCCATGTTGTAGCATGGCTCAGTTTCCTTCCTTTTAATGGCTGAGTAATATTGCATTGTATGAACAGACTAAATTTGATTTATCAATTGATGCATTCATAGACACTTGGATTGTTTCCACATTTTAGTTATTCTAAAGAATGCTGTTATGAGCATGGGTGGACAAATATCTGAGTTCTTGCTTTCAATTCCTTTGGGTATATACCCAGTAGTGGAATTGCTGGATCATGGAATAATTCTATGTTTGATTTTTTTTGAGGGACCACTATATGCTTTTCCACAGCAGCTGCACCATTTTACAGTCCTACTAGAATGCAAGAGTATTCTAATTTCCCTGCGTTCTGGCCAATATCTATTTTCTGTTTTTTGGTGATAGCCATCCTAATTGGTATGAACTGGTATTTCCCTGTGGTTTAATTTACATTTCTTTAATAACCAGTGGTGTTGAGCATTTTTCATGTGTGTATTGGTCATTTGTGTATCTTCTCTGCAGAAATGTCTAGTCAAGTCCTTTGCCGATCTTTGAACTGGGTTGTGTTTTTGTTGTTGAGTTGTAGGAGTTCTCTAAATATTCTGGATATGAATCTTCATCTTCATCAGATATGCAATTTGAAGATATTTCCTGTCATTCCATGGGTTGTCCTTTTACTCTGCTGATAGTATCTTTTGATGCATAAAAGTTTTCAATTTTGATGAAATCCAATTTATCTACTTTTTCTTTCATTGTCTATAATTTTGGTGTCATACCAATAAATCACTGCCACATTCAGTGTCATGAAGCTTTCCCCTATGTTTTCTTCTGTCTCCATTAAATTTTGTGTGTGGTGTGAGGTAGGGATTTAGACTCAACATATCTGAAATTCAACCTCTAAGCTTCCCCATACAACCTCCTGCACCCCTGGGATTTGCTGTTGCTGCCAAAGGCCTCATCTTCTCTCCAGGCGGTCAGCATAGAATCCCGGAGCCACCCCTGCCTCTTTCATCCCCATCATCAAAGTCCTATTCATTTTGCCTCCTTCCTACATTCCTTGAAGCCCATAATTTCCCTGCACAGACCATGCCCTTGTCCTAGTTCTTCTCATCTCTTGCCTAGGTGACAGCTGTGGCCTCTAACTGGCTGATACGGTTTGGCTCTGTGTCCCCACCCAAATCTCATCTTGAATTGTAATCCCTATGTGTCAAGGGAGGAACCTGGTGGGAGGTGACTGGATCATGGAGGTGGTTTTCTCCATGCTGTTCTCATGATAGTGAGTGAGTTCTCACAAGATCTGATGGTTTAAAAGTGGCACTTCCGCCTTTGGGTGCTCTCTTCTGCCACCATGGAAGACGTGCCTTGCTTCCCCTTTGCCTTCCAC